GGGGAGCCCGGGCTGAGTGTGGGGGGTGGGGGAGGCAGGTGGCTTGCACATGAGCATGTCCTAGTGCCGCCCCCCCCCCCGCCCCCCCGCAGCTTGGCCACCTGGCCCGAGTCCATCACTGGGCTGCGCTGGGAACTGTCCCAAGTTCAGCACCTCCCCACCCGGCTCCTGTGTCGGCCCCTCTGCCAGGCCCCGGCCTGTGGATAAGAATAGCCAGGCTGAACACAAAGGCCTGCTGGTGGAGCCCAGCCCCGGGGAGGGGCAACGCCCAAGAGCCCCTATAAAGGGCTGGGAGCGTGCAGAGCCCACCGCCCGGAGCTGGCAGTGAGAGGGGCTTGACCACACGGCATCTTGCCCCGGGAGCCTGCGGCGTGGCAGCCAGAGTCCCCGCCGTGCCCGCGTCCCATCCCCAGCCAGCACCATGCCGGGGGTGCACCTCCCCAGCCTGGACAATGCCCGGGAGGCGACGGTGGAGGAGATCCAGCTGGACCTCCAGGCCTTCCAGCTGGCCACCGAGAGGCGCCTGGAGGAGGCGCTACAGCAGTTGCAGCCCCTGGCCAGCGCCCTCAATGACTTGAAGGAGGAGCACCTGGTGCTGCGGGCCGAGCAGGCGCGCCTCGGCCGGCAGCTGGAGGTGCTCGCGCTCTGGCTGGGAGCCCAGGATCTGGAGGAGAAGGACCCCAGCACCCTCTTCCTGGAGGCACAAGATCCCTGTGCCCACTTTGCGGGCACCGAGGAGCCCAGCAGCCCCGTGGCCCATCCGCCCACCTTCTCCAGCACCCACAGGCAGTCGTCTGTGCACCTCTCCAGGAGCAACAGCTTCGTGAGTGAGCAGGCTCCGGGCAGGGGAAGGCGGGGTGGCAGGCCCACTCCTTCCAGGGGACGGCTTCCCTGAGAGCCCATCCCATGGGCAGCGTTGGCTGGCTAGGTCTTGGGTCTGGGGGAAGGAGGCAGGGGTGGGCAGATGTTGCTGGGCAGAAGCCCTGGTCTGCCCCTGCTGGCTGGTCTGAAAATCTACTCTGGGTGCCCAGTGCCGGTCCCCCCGCTGGGGCCAGGGCAGGCGGCCGGCTTGGAGCTGCCTGGGCGAGGCCCCTATCGGCCCTTCCCCAAGCCTTGGCCCCTGGGCAAAGGGAAGCTGTTCCTGGGTGGGGGAGCCCCAGAGCTTGCACCAGTTGCTGCTGGCCCAGGCAGGCGCGTTTTCACGGGGGATTAGCTGGGGCTGTGGCAGGAGATTACAGCTGGGGGTTGCTGGGGGAGACCTGTGCCAGCCGAGGCTCCCATCACCCGGAGCCAATCCAGGCCGCCTGCCTTGCATTGCTGACGTGCCATCTGGAGCAGCCTGTTGTGCTGGGCGTTTGTTTGCAGGGACAGCTGGCCTGGGGTCTCCTTACGCCAGCTCCGAGCCCAGCCAGGGAGCTGCGCCCTCCCGCGGGTGCTGGGGCAGCGTCAGAGCTGCTTGCTGCCGGGCGTCACTGTGAGCGGGATCTCCCCTGGCTGCTGGGCAGGGAGGCGCGTGGGCCGCCTGGATCTGGGTGTGGCCCCCGAGCACCAGGGCTAGTCGGGCCGCTGTGCGCACAGCCCAGCGGGCCCGGCTGACCACGCGTTCGGCCCTGCCCTAGGCTTGGTTCCTCCCATCACTGCCTGCCTACCACCAGCCCCAGCCGCAGAGGCCAGCTTCCTGCCAAGGGCGCTGCGCATCTGGTCCGCCCCTGCCCCAAGGGCTGCTGGGAAATCCCAGCCCTTGGTCCCCTGGTGTTTTAGCCAAAGAGAACTGACCCCCAGCGAGCCGCTGGGCAGAGTGAGAGAGGCTGCGCTGCCGGCCGTCACGCCCAGAGGGCAGCTGTGCTGTATATGTTGGCCTGCCATGGGGGGCACCCTGCTCCAACGGGACTACTATCCCTTCTCAGCCCCTCAGCCGGCCAGTGCCAGGGTGCCTGGGCCCTGCTGCTCTGCCGGGGGGTGCGAATGGAGCCAAGCAGGTGTGGGCTCAGCCCCGGCCGCAGGCCTTTGTGGTGCTATTTTGGGCCTGGCCGGCTGGCCGGGCTACATTCGTTGGGGGTCGTGTTGACAAGGAGCCGGCACCACCTGATTGTTCAGAAGAGGCTGGGCTTGCCTCGTTGCCAGGGCAGCTCCTGATCCCCAGGCCAGGAGCCTCTTTCCGATAAGCCCCTTAATCTCCTGGAAATCCTGGGCTGGAGCTAGAGGCGTCCACGGTGCCTGCTGCCCAGCCCACCCGCCGGCCCGGGCAGCCCCCCTGCTCGCTGGGTGTAGCTGGGCTGCCGGACGTGTAGACTCACTGCTGCTGAGCTCGCGTGGGCTGCTTGGGCCCTCGTGCCTGTGCTAAGGTTGCCAGTAGCCCTGTCCCCGGCTCTGCCGTTCCCCTTGCAGGGTTCTGCGGGCCCTTTGAGGCGGAGAGCAGGAGTTGTGAGGGTAGGGAAGGAATCGCCCGCCTGCAGGAGCAGCACGTCTGCCCCGGGCTCTGGTGGTGTGGGGTGATGGAGCCACCGGATCGGAGCTAGGACCAGCTTTGGAACAGCGTCTGGGAGGAACCCTTCCATGGGCCAGATCCCCGGCATCTCTCACTTCCTCCAGGGGAAGCCACGCGGCTTCACCACCTCCTTAGACTGGACCTCTGGGCCTGCTCCACCCCGTGAGCTCTGCTCAGCGAGTCCTGCTGAGACAGCCGAGGGGGACTTGTCCGCTCTTGGGGGATGCATGCACCTCGTCCAGCTTGTGCAGTGACACTCAGTATTGTCAAGCCAGTCGGGTTTTAGTCACAGGATGCCCTTAGGGCAGCTCAGAGGAATGAGGGGTAAAGCATCGTCCATTCGGGGTCGCTCTGTGCCCAGCCAAGCTGTAGTGAACTCTGGCTCTCCATCCATCTGACCTTGGTCCAAATCCTCGACTGCCACTTATCCCCCAGCTCACACCTCTCCGGACCCCTGTTTCTGGGCTGGGAAATGCTGGGCAGCCCCCTTGCTGAGAGGTGGGGAAGTCCATGTGCCTCTGGGTCCTTGCTTGCTCGGTGTCAGCGTCTGGGTAATTGGATCTGCTGTTGTGTTCTCCAGAGCACCACTGAACTTGGGCCTAAGGGTCAGACAGCTAGGCCACACCCATATCTGTCTCTTCGCCTGCCCAGAGTGCAAACAGCCCTTTCCCACCCGCTAGTGACAATCCAGCACAGAGGGGAAACCGAGGCACAAACTGATCTCCTGAAAGTATTACAAAAAATTCCTGCTTTGTCACATGTGGCTCAGTGGCAGAAGCCCAGGACTGGGAGGCAGGACTCCTGGGTTCTATTCCCTGCCCCCGCCCTGGTCTGCTGGGTGACCTCGGGTCAGTCGCGTCCCCTCTGCGTGTGGAGATGGTCAGGGCTGCCCCCAACACAGCTCTACTTATGGAACGCTGGAGGGGTTAGTGGGGATGGTGGGGCTGGGGAAGGGCAGGACGGTTCAGCCTGTCGTGTGGGCGTAGAGGATTGGCAGACAGAGCCTCTGCTGGGCTTGCTGGTACGGCCCGGCTCGATGGGTAGTGGGAGCAGGGCAGATGGTCAGGCAGTGGCATTGGCAACTCAGTAGGTGGCGCTCTTCCCTCTCGTCAGCCCCTAGCTAATGCCCAGCCTGGCGCTGAGGGCACGGTAGTGCTGGGGTGTAAAACCAAGTCCTCAGCTGCTCGTGGGCATGCGCCCCGGCACGTCTTCCCAGGGCTGGGCGCTGGGGCTGTCGACCGGAGCTGCTCTCCCTGTGGGGCTGGGGGATGTATGCGTGGGGTTTGCCCGGGCCCTCGGCAGGGCGGGGCGCTCTGCAGCTGGGAGGTTCTCCGCATCGGCCCCTCTCGTCGCAGATGGAGGCGGAGCTGGTGGAGCAGCCCCAGGTGCCGGTGCCAGAGCCGGAGCTGCCCAATGGGATGGAGAAGGCCCAGGCGAGGGAGCCGGAGAAGAGGAACAAGCTGAGCGCTGAGGAGCTGAGCAGGATCGAGGAGGAGGACGTGCTGGATAAGATGGTACGTTGAGCCTGTCTCCTGCCCCTGACCGAGCTACCCCAGCCGGCCTGTGGCCCAGGTTTGAGGGGGCAGTGGGGTTTGGGTGGGCCATGTGAGGCCATGGTGGAGTTTGGGGGGCAGGGTGGGGGTGAGGCCAGTGGTGGGGTCTGGAGGGGCAGGGTGGGGGTAAGGCCATGGTGGGGTCTGGAGGGGCAGGGTGCGGGTGAGGCTGCGGTGGGGTCTGGGGAGTGGCTGGGGGCAGGATGGGAGGTGAGGCCTCAGTGGGGTCTGGGGGAGTGGCTGGGGGGGCAGGGCGGGAGGATGAGGCCGTGGTGGAGTTTGGAGCAGGGTGGGAGTGAGGCCACTGTGGGGCAGGGTGGGAGGTGAGGCTGCGGTGGAGTTTGGGGGTGCCTGGGGGGCAGGGTGGGAGGTGAGGCCTCAGTGGGGTCTGGGGGGTGGCTGGGGGGCAGGGGGTGAGGCCGCGGTTGCTGAGGTTGCTGGTGTCGCGCTTGCCTTGGCAGCTGGACCAGACGTCGGACTTTGAGGAGCGCCGGCTGATCCGCTCTGCCATGCGGGAGCTGCGTCAGAGGAAGAGAGGTAGCTGCCTGTGGCTCCCCAGGGGTTGGTGGCTGGGGGAGCTGGGGGGGTTGGCACCTTGACCCTGGCAGCAGGCTGGCAGGGCCATGGAATGGAAGCAGCAGAGGTGGGTCAGGGAGCCAGGAGCCGTGCTACCGAAACCTGAGCTGGCCTGGGGATGTCTGGGCCCTGCCCCAGGGAGGGGCTCGGCGAGGCAGGCAGGCTCTGTAGCCTTTGCGGATCATTGTGTGTGAGTGTCCCCAGTGCCATAGCCCTGGAGCCGTCTGGCATGGTAGCATCCTGGGCGAGGGCAGCAGGGGCCTGGTTGGAGAACGGCCCCATCCCTCCTGCCGTGTCTCCAGTTCTCAGTCCGGGCAAGGAGTTCCCCATGGGGCCCTGACTCCTGGATGTGCTGCGGAGGATGGACTGGGCAGGGACTGGGCACCCCAGAGATGCTGTGGTGGCTCCATGCCGGGCAGCATCCATCACCCCCGGTGCCCTCATCTCCGCGTTAATGCCGTCCCCCGCGTGCATTTGCAGAGCAGCGAGACAAGGAGCGGGGCCAGCGGCTGCAGGAGGTGAAGAGCCAGGCTGCAGCGGGGAAGACAGGCCATGCCACCGAGACCACCACCCGGCAGAGCGCCCAGTCGGCTGATGGCTCGGCCCGCCACACGCTCACCAAAACTGAGCACCTCGTCCAGTCCAGTAAGGGCCCTGCAAGGCCACTGGGCGCTACCGCTTGGTCTCACAGCCTGGTCCCACTCTGTGCCCCCCTGGCACGGGCCGTCTCTGCTGTTCTCTGCTCTGCCATCTTGGCACGGGCCGTCTCTGCTGTTCTCTGCTCTGCCACCCTGGCACAGGGTCCGTCTCTGCTCTGCCACCCTGGCAGGGGCCGTCTCTGCTGTTCTCTGCTCTGTCCTCTTGGCACAGGCCATCTCTGCTGTTCTCTTCTCTGCCACCCCGGCACAGGGCCCATCGCTGCTGTTCTCTTCTCCGTCACCCTGACTCGGGCCCATCTCTGCTGATCTCTTCTCTGCCACCCTGGCATGGGCCCGTCTCTGGGTGCCTGCCAGTCTCTGCTGGCCTCTTCTCGATCATCTCCCAATGCGTGGCCCCTGCTCTTGGAGTCTCTCTCTGTTTCTCTGTCCTTCGCCGCCCCCATGCCGACGGTGCTTGGCTGCCTGGGCTTCACTCTGAAAAAGGGCCCCTGGGCCCAGGCACTCCAGGACAGCTGGCAGCCGTGGGGCCTGGCTCCCCAGCGCTGACCTGCTCTGCCTTGCCAAGAGTCTGCTGGGCTCTGGAGGCGCAGCCTCTGTGCCAAGAATCGCCTGCTCCCCGGGGTCTACAGGGACCTGCCAGCAGCGCTGTGGCAGGCTCAGGGAGAGCTGGACCTGGGGCACAGGATTACACGCACCATGGGGAGCCCCCAGTGAGCCTGGCCCACAGCATGGCAGGCATGGAGCCTTTGGGGCGGCCAAGGGTCTGTAACAGGGCCCGGCCCCCTGTTAAAGCTGGGCCTCCCACTGGCTGGCTGGAGCCATCCCTGGCCCTGCCTGTCCATTCCTGCGCTTCCTCTACCTGCCAGCAGCTGCTGCCCAGGCTGGTATGAGCTCAGGCAGCCAGGCCCTCCAGCATGCCCTGCCCAGGGGGCTCTGCCAGCAGGGAGGGCTCCCGTCCAGGGCTGGGACTCTTCTCTACCCCATCGGCCTGTGTGCTCTGCCCTCAGCTGCACCAGCTGCCTACACCCTGGCTCTTACGGTTCCTTCCTGGTGCCACCGGCCTTCTCCGGCATACAAGGATGCTTGGCCACGTGGGCCCTTCCACCAGGTGCTCTGGCGCTTGGCCAGGCCCGGCTCCGGCTGGGCGGCGCTCTCCTCAGACAAACCTGCCCTGGCTTCCTACTGCCTCTGCTCCTTTCGTCCCCTGCCACGGGCCTGTTCTCTCCTGTCTCCGGACTGAGGCAGAGCCTTCTCTACATCTCCTGCCGTCAGGCCGGGCCTCCCTGCCTCTTTCTGCCCCGTACTTTCTGTTGCCTTTGGAGCCTGCTGCGCACGCGCCCGTTGGCCTGGCCTGGCCTTCGCGGGATGCGCTGGCCTCACTCAGCTGCCTCTCTGCAGCCACGCCGGCTCTCTGGCCCTGCCCTCTCCAGGGGCAGGTGCTCTAGGTGTTGGCCTCGCCCCACCCTGGCTGATCCTTTTGTCTTTTCCTCCCTTTGCAGAAGACGGCACCAAAACCTCCCGGATGACGACAGTGGAGTCGAGCTACACAAAGAGATCGGACAGTAAGGGCCCTTCGCCCCCCTCCTAGCCTCTCTCCTGCCACCTGGTGGCAATTCCCCCTTCCTCTGGGGGCACCTGCTTGCCCGTTGGCACTGGGCGCTCAGCCCTGGGGCGGGGGGAGGGGCAGCCACTTGCCCATTGGCGCTGGGCCCTGGTGGAAGCAGGCTGCGGCGCCTCTGGGCAGCGCCAGGCACAGGGAAAAGGCAGCTACTACTACCTCCCTCACCAGTGCCTGAGGTTCTTCTCCTTGTCTCTGCAGATGGCAGCACGTTTGTCCAGACCAAATCCTCCTACAGCTCCTCGTCCAAGAAGGTGGGCAGGTGAGTGACACCCTGCTGAATGGGCAGTGCCCTCTGGGGAGAGGTGGAGAACGGCATGGCAGCTCCGTGTGTGCCGCCCGAGCTCCTTGGGCCACTTGTGCCACCCATGGACCCCAGCAGGGGGGACAGGCCTCCACTCACTGTATTTGGGTGTCCCCAAGGGTCAGCGACCTTGGCTACCCTCCACCCCCCCCAAGGCAGCTGCTGTCGCCTAGCCTGCTACGTGTCCTTCCAGCAGCCCCTGCAGGGTGTCAGCCTTTGGGGTCTTGTGATGTCTCCACGTGGCTGAGTGCCGGGAGAACCCGGGGCCTGTCACTCGGGGATCTCTGAGCACTGTGCAGACCCCACTGATTTAAGGCTCCCACAACCCTGAATGGTGTCGTCCCTGCCACACGAAGGCAGATTCTCCCCTGGCTTGGGGGGCCCCATTGAGACCTTTGGGCCTGCAACTGAGTCTGGGGAGCTGCAGCTGCTCCTTGGGTCCCCCCTGCACCCCCTCCCCAGGGTGCTGTTGGGACCTGGCTGAACAGAGACTCCCTCCCATGCTGAGTCTCTCCCTCCCCCAGCATCTTTGACCGCGAGGACGAGAGCAGCTCGCGCCAGGGCAGTCTGGCCGCTCTGGAGCGGCGCCAGGCCGAGAAGAAGAAGGAGCTGCTGAAGGCTCAGATTCTGCCCAAGACGTCGGCCACACAGGCGCGGAAGGCCATGATTGAGAAGCTGGAGAAGGAGAGCGGGAGGTGAGGGTGCCGGGTGCGGCCGGGGCAGGGTTGGGCTGGGTTGGGCCAGTGCCGTGGGCAGTTGACCAACATGCTCTGTGTGTGCTCCCTGCAGCCCCTCGAGCCCGGCCATGTCGCGGGTGGCCGTGCAGCGCTCCTCCAGCTTCGGCGTCCCCAACGCCAACAGCATCAAGCAGATGTTGCTGGACTGGTGCAGAGCGAAGACCCGGGGCTACGAGGTCAGTGCCCTCCTTCCCTTGCAGCTCCTGGCCAGGCTGGGCCCACTCCCTGCCCCCCATCCTCCGGGGCTAGGGTTGCCAGGTCTGGAACACGCAGTCGAAAAGGGACCCTGAAGACTCCAGTCAGCACCGCTGACCAGGCTGTTAAAAATCTGGTTGATGGTGGTGCCAGTGCAGTGGAGCGGCGTGGCTCCTGGAAGCGGCCGGCATGTCCTGCCTGCTCCTGGGCGAAGGGGCAGCCAGGGGGGCTCTGTGCGCTGCCCCTGCCTGCAGGTGCCGACTCTGCAGTTCCCATTGGCTGGGAACCATGGCCAATGGGAGCTGCGGGGGCTCCGAGCCACCTGGCCCCTCTGCCTAGGAGCAGGAGGGATGTGCCGGCTGCTGCCCAGAGCCCACATCTGGAACCCCCTCCTGGACCCCCAGAGTCCCCTCCTGTACCCCAAACCCCCTCATCCCTGACCCCACCCCAGAG